ATACTCATTCTTATATAAATGACTATCCTCAACAACCATCAATTTGGGTTTTGTGGAAACCATTCAACATCCATTCAACATCCATTATGGATCTTCATATGGAAACGTCCCATTTGCTCATGAAGGTCACGTTTTTCATCCTTAACCATTGGAGAAAAATGCCATTTTTTTGGAAAAGTACGTTTTACATATGTATAATTTCCCAATGACGGTGCAAGTGGATTCTGTTTCGAAAATCTTTTATCTAACTAACTGTGAAAAGATAAATCCCAAAATCAGTGTAGTTTTACCGGACTCGACCGTTTTATACCACCTCCTCCCGCTGTTTTGAATAAGAAATTTCGAGAATTTCGATGTTTTTGGCTGTTCCAAGCTTGTATCTTCCGCCCTCATTCATGTACTGTTTCTTTGTTTAAAATACTTCAATATTAATATCGGGTTGTTCATGGATGGTAAGCACTCCCTGCACAGTCGGATGAACATTGTTTTTATGTTTAATCTAAATGTTTTTATGCTTAATCTAAATGCTTTCTTGTAGCCCTATTAATAAACTGGTTAGACAATTTCAATTTTTTGATTTGTTTATATAGATTGTAATAAAATTGTTATTGTATTGTGTCATATTGTATCTCAATTTATTAATTAAAAGTCCAAAACCAATAGTTATGCACAGATGATAGTTATCGCTTGCAACAAACCTGTTTTATAAATTTTGCTAATTATATTGTTATTTCACATTTGCCCTATTGTTTTATATATTTTGAGGACACTATGGTCGAAGCCTATTAAAGAGTTTGGGACAATTAAAAATAGAACAGAACGAAGTTACATCGTGAAATATACACACCAAGAACTGAGGCATTGAGCTAACATGATTTTATTACTGTAGGCCCTGTATTATATTTTCATTGAAAATACTTTATAGTAAGCAGCGATGCAGATAGGCGATGAAAGGCCTATGTGGAAGATTAACTGGGCCCTTTGATGTGGAATGTCAACTATATGATTTACAGTTGGGGGTTTGCCATCATTTTCAAATATTTTTAATACACAAATGTTGAACAACAGTAATTGTCTATAATTTATTATATCTCCTTAAAGTGATATTAACTACACAAATATCAGCAGGCATTTATTCACTTCTTTTATCAGTTAAAAATATAAAAATAAATAAATTTATTTATTCAAGACCCAACAGTGTGTCAAACACAAAAAACAGGATCGTCATAAAAATGCAATATGATATAAAAAATATATGTCTAAAGATAAAAAAAATACATAAAAAGTATAAAAAAAATTCACAATGAATAATATAAATACAAATAAAATAATAACAATTAAAACAAAAACCTACACTAAATATTGTTGCAAGAGTTGGGAAAGCGACAATAGTGGAACAGCCAGGGTTTGCATAAATCTAATTTAGCTTACTTGGTGGTATGTAGAATCCACATTTCAAAGGCTTCAGAGCTAGGCATAGAGCAAAGTTAATACAATATTGCAGAAATATTCCCAACAATACCTTCTGTAAAGGTCAGAGCTAACTGCAGCCAGAATATTGTGGTCATGCAGCATTCCATCTTAGACCTAGTAATATTACCATGCAATTGGGTAATATTATTAATACCGGAATATTGGCAGAACCTGTCTGAAAATGGATTTAGTGTCCATGTTTGTACACTACATGTATATAAAAATGTGGCCTATACGTAACAATTACAATACCATTGAATTTCTCGTGGAATATTTAAAAGGCTTCTTTTACAATTGTCATTCTTCTTTGAATTTTCTTTTTTACATTTCCTCTTTCGTTAATAAAAGCCTTGGATACTCAATTTTAATCTATTCCAGTTGTTTAAACGAAAAACATTTGCTTTATGAACTTGTTCTTCATACAAAGAAAATAAAAACAATTAAAAAAACACCTACACTAATGCAAAATCAGATATCTAATCTAATTCCTTAAATTGTGAACAACCTTTATTGCAGGGCATGCTGGATGGATCTTTTTTTTTATTTGCATTTTATTTCTGATCCATTATCTCAAATTAATACCTTTTTTTGTAGGAAAGCTGATATTAATATTACTGTATCTAATTTCTGAGTCATCAAAGTTTTTTATGACATGTTGCCATTAATATAATCTTTATTGGATAATGAGATTCATTCAAACTTTATTATTGAGGTGACTACAATACAAATTACACTTTCTATCAGTCAGTAAAATCTGATTTTCCTAGCAATTTTAACTTGAAGTGACTAAGAGATACAAGACTTGTTATGACATATTTATCAGTTATTTAGTCACCATCTTCCATATTTATCTGAAGTCCAAACAAACCAGATTGAATAAATGTAATTTATAATACTTCAGCTGAGTAATAATCTATTGTTCTTTGTGTCAAAGGATCATGCTCTATGTGCACATATAGATGCAAAGAGCCTTAACCTTATGTATTGAAATTTGGGAACCAGACAACATCGTAAGGGCTATATATGATTTATATATTTACTCATTCCAAAGAATATGAAAGAGAGCATGTTATCCTAGTTATGGGTTATTCTCCTTCCTTTACCTTTTTAACGTATAAAAAAACAATATGTAATTGTACTTGTACACAGCTATGGAAGGATTCCTGCTGTGTTTGGTTGTCTTTTTTGCTACTCCCCCTCCCCACGCATCTCATAGATACGCCACTTGTTTGGTCATTTCTTTTCCAGTGCAAGTATGACTTTGAGCATTAAAAGATATCAACAGTCAGTTGGTGTATGAACTTTGACTTGAACAAATCACCTGACGAAGTAGATAATCTTATCAGCACACTTAGTTAGTTTTAGTGACAATAGTATCATACTGTGTGATAATTATGACAATAATTGTCTCATATAAACTTTTAGTTTGACCAAACCTCCCTTTTTAAACAAAGTAAAGTTTTAGCATACAGTGTAGAAAGCTGAATTGCTAAACTCTTTGTACTGGAGATAAAAAATTATCAACACACAAAACAAAAAGTCCGGATTCACATGACTTGCATGATATTTATTATAGAAAAACTGTTATTCGTGACTTTCATAGTTTGGCTTATTAAGATGAAATATGTTTGAGGATTAATTGTTCAGAATAATAATATTAATAATCATATTTCGATGTGAGTTTGATAGTCATATAAACTGCCATAGAATCTGCTATCTGAGGTTGTATTTGTGTGAAATACAATGGGCGTGAAAATAGGGCTTTTTGTCATAATTGATTCTGTTACTAAAGACTACAGTATATTTTAATGAAAATAGTTTATAAGTTTCTTTTTACAGTGACCACATTTGAAATAATGTGCCTGGTGCTCTTTCATGTGCTAGGTTGTTTATTTTACGTTGCAAAACTCTACATGCGACAAAAAAAGTTTGAATCTCCCACTATGTCTGCTAACAAATTATTTGGCAACAGCATGATTGCAAGCTGAGCCTGTTTTTCTTTCTTTATAAACATCATATGACGGTTAGATATTCATTATCCCATGGAGGTTTAAAACAAACATTATACCTTCCAATCTTTAACAAAAATTATGTGTTCCAAATTATACTCATTCTTATATAAATCACTATCCTAAACGAACATCAATTTGGGTTTTGTGTAACCATTCAACATCTATGTCATTGTGGATCTTATCTCCAACATTACGATGGCATACAAATCAAATCTCACAAGCATAACGTGTGGCGTACCACAAGGGTCAGTTTTAGGCTCATTGCTGTTTCTAATTTATGTTAACGATATTCAGTTAGTTAGTAATGTACTTAAAACTGTTTCTTTTCTTGATGATACGACTGTTTTCCTATCAGGAGAATAGATAATCCTGATCAGCTGTTAACTGACATAAACCATGAACTTGTAAAGGTATTTGATTGGATCAGCATTAACAAACTATTGTTAAATATTACCAAACTAAGTATGTGATTTTGCGCCCTAATCAGAAAAAATGCCCTAAAATTGACAATTGTTCTAAAATCAATGGTAAGGCAAGAGTTCAATGGAAAGAAGTTCAATTCTTGGAGATAATTTTAAATGAACATATTAATTGGAAAATTCATATTGACTTTGTTGCAAGAAAAATCTCTAAGTCAATAGGAGTAATTGACAGAGTCAAACAGTTTTTTCCTACAAATATTTTACTCGCTCTCCACAATACCTTAATTCTGCCTTACCTCCAGTATGGAAATATCATCTGGGGAAGTGACTATCCTACAAACCTTGTCAAAATATATAACCTCCAAAAATGTATTATTCGTATAATTACATCATCACCATACAGGTGAAATACTGAGCCACTATTTATGATAAATAAGGTACATGTACAACTAGAATGCTTTATGTATGGACATACCCATGAACTGTTACTAAAAGTGTTTAATGATTTATTTCAGTACACAGGAAATGTCCATCTATCAGACAAGATAATGTAATATGCTTTGTATTCTATTTGTTAGGCTACCTAAAAGGCAATTCTCAATTTGTGTCCATGGCCTGCATGTATAGAACAATATTGACTAAAAACAAATACTCTTATGACTTTTAGAAACTCCTAAAAATATAAGTTATTTCAAATTATCAATAGGTACTTTTATTTTTGTTTTGTTTGTTTTATTTCATCTTTGTTTTTTTGTTTTGTTTTTTTTTTTTTTTTGCTTGTCCTTGTATCTGAAACAAGCCTAGGCTTCTAAACTGGTCAATCACCATTGTATTTCTTGTTTTTCATTGGTGAAATAAATGTGACATTGATTGATTGTCCGAAAAATTTTAAAAGATGAAAACAAATGGCACATTACTGTATCAAAATAACTGGAGTTGTTTGGTTGAGCAAATCTGAGAATTTTATTTATCGATTATTTCATTTAATTTTCTTTATTTCAACATTATACAAACACAGGTAATCAAATGTAGGAACTAACAGGTTGTTAAATTAAATATTAATTATTTTTTCTTTATTTATAGCAATCAACGTTACCAGTCACTTTTCTGAAAGTGAGCAAAGATGTGACAATAACATTTGTCCAATACTTGAGAAGGCAGGCAACTAAAATAGAGAGAGAAGGAGGGGAGGGTAGAAATTGATGCTAATATTGAACAAACTACCAGGGTAAGTAGGATAGTTAATTACATAATTTAAGATTGTAGTACTAGCATACTGAGAAGGTGTGTCAAGTGGCCATAGATTAGAATTTATGCTTTATAGCAATAATGAATATTTATTACTAACTACATAATTTGTATAACAAATTATTTTATAAACTATGGCCTCTTATGATTACTTTATCTATAAATAATTACTATTGGCCTAAATATTGATATGTAATAAATGAAAAGTAAACCATTATTGAGATATAATAACCTTGAACTTACCACAAGTGCAAAACATCATTATATATTTGAATTTGAAGTCATCATTATACAAAATGTATAACGAATTCAAATTCTAGTAATTTTATATTGAAATAAAATATATTTATATTAAATATTAAATATTTAATCCATTTTGCTTTGGGGGTTTTTTGTTGCCTTTGTATTGTTTTGCTGTGTATGTATCAAATATTTTAAATTAACATCAACTAGATCTACACTAAACAACATTGTTGAAATAAATATATACCACATACATAATTTGATATTGCAACAGTATTAGGTAGGTAGTTTATTTAGCTGTTCAGTAAATGGTGAAAGTGTTAAAAATTGATTTATTGAATCTGACAATATTATATCTTGTTACAAAAATTTTTTGAGTTTTCTCAGGTTACTATTGGGCATTGTAGCTTTGTATTGTTTATTAGCCATTCCGACCATATATGTTACTATTAATAATAATAATAATAATCAATATTTATGTAGCGCCTAATGTTAATAAATGTCCTAATGTCATAATTCAGTGTTAGTCGTAGTGGCAATGAACAAACTTATTACTCACCCGCTCCACTGTATTGGATATTTCGGCTCCATTCTTCGGAGCCCTGTTCACCTCTGGCTTAGTTTAATCGACTGACACTCAGTAGTAACACACAGGGTCTGAATGGCTAATAAACAATACAAAGCTACTTATTTTTTAATCTTTTAGTGGAAAGTTTGTGAATCTACAACAGTTTGATTGCAAGTATTTCGTAAATAGCTGTAAGAAGTAGAGCTCATGTCAAAAAGTATGGAGGAAACAGGTAAATACTAGTAATAAATATTGTTGCATTTTTGCACTATTTTAAAGGACTTCACTTTAATTCCCTGGTCATATACATTCTATATTGTCTTGATTCACATTATCTCTATGTTTTAATTTCAATGTTCCTGTCTGTCATCTTTGTTGTAAACCACCTCTTAAATTTTAATACTCCCTTGTCAATGTCTGTAAAAACAGTTTGCTCATTTGAAATAATGAAATAAACTATTAACTTCCAATGAGAAACTGATAAAGGAAAGTAGTTTACATCTGATTTACAGACATTTTACTTTAAAAAAATCCTTAAATTGGTTACCAGCCAATTTAAGGATCTATGCAATAGAAATTAAAGCCCCTTTCACACAGAGTTGCAATACGGTATTATTTATACCGTTTTTCGCGAATGGTGGCATTCTATGTGAAAGGGTAAATACGCCTAAACGCCAAGTCAAAATACTGCATTAATACCGTAGCGGTTCATCATTCATCACTGAAGCATAACAAATCAGGGGTCAAAGTGCGAAACATTTTTGTTGAATGTGCGAAGAGTTGGTTTTTAGATCAGGGTTGCCAGTATAAAATTGCGCCCTCTTTGTTTACAGACGCAAAATCCTTTTGTGCCGGACCCCTTTCAGGCATGATACGGTATTAATACCGGATTTTTACTAATTGTGCAAAAGGGTCTACACCAGCAATAGCGCCAGCGTGACTACGGTATAATTGCAGTATTTTCTGTCTGAAAGGGGCTTAATACACAAAAGCTGACTGAAAATTAACTGGGGAATTTTTTCTTTTGATTCAAATTTTTAATTTTAAGTTTTACTTAAATAAATAGACAAATGAAGCTATTCAAATTTGGAATTAAAATTTTTAATTTTTTAGCTCATGACTGGATAATAGTACGTAAAGCCTAGATAATGATGTTGTATTTCTAATTATATTTACATCCTAATTTGATGCAATAACAAAAAAGTAACAAAAAAAGTGCTAATCCTCCACTCTTCCCTGGAGAGTGACACAGCTAATCATCTGTAATTTACAACAATTTAATAATATACTGTGGAAAGCAATTGTATCTCCAATGTAGATAGTGACCAAGAACAAAAGTGAATAGAGTGGGATTTGAACCCCGACATCACAGTTCAGAGCCTAAATATTAGGAACCTTTCAATTTGTGCAAGGACGTGGCACTGGAACGGAATCACTCATGTGTGACCATCTTACCCTGCATCCTATGTTCTCTGCATTTGTAGATTTGGCCAAATTGTGTCCTGGAATCCACGCGACGAGGAGAACTTAATGTTCTCGCATGCGCAGATGACTTTAGTGATGCCATTATGTCCTACTGTACTGTCGCCATGCAATCAATAGCTCCCTAAAGCACACTCTTAATTCAGTCAAACAGTTCTAAATTCTTATAGTGACAATGTGTCATTTTGTCATCACCAAATTTGCATTTAGGCCAAATAAAATTAATGGCTTGTTTCACATTCCCACCCTCATCAAATTTTGGAGACATGACAAAATTTACTCTTTGCTATTTATTGAAAAACGTTTATATTTCCACGGACAATAAAAATAGTGACTATCTGAAAGAATGATGTCGAGCCTAAGAAGAGGTGGGAACATAAATGCCAGAAATACATTACTAAGATTCATTTTATTTATTTTTTTATATTTCTACTATTTACCAGCCTGTTTACCATTAATATAGGATAGTAAAAAGCAAATAGTAAATACACTCACCAAAAAATAACTTCAAATCCTGGACATGAAACTGACAATTAATGTTATTTGGCCTTATTGATATATAGTAGAATCAAAACAAAAATTTATTTAAATGTAAACATTAAAATATACTTTGAACTCTGAACATTCTCAGTCTGCAAAAACCAACACAATTCCTAAATTAATCCTACATTTCTTCTAATAGTAATGTGAGTTTTTTTTTTATTCCATTTTTTCTGAAAATAAATTAGAAATTATTAAGGGTAATATCTAATTATTTTTAAATTTTGTTGTGTAATTTGCAAATTTTTCAGTTTATTGTTTACTTATTTCACCAAAAAACCATTTTAACTATTTGTTTCTATTGTGATTATGATTATACTGACTATAGCGGAATTAATTTTAATTGTGATGATCAAATACACATTTGCAATTTTAATTCTGTCGCTGTACATTTCTATTTTTGGTGAGTGATAGTTGAATATGCGCCCCACTTGAATAAATGCCCCTCTTAACATGAAAATTGTCTTAAGTGCCCCATTTCAATAAGCACACCTCCTAATTTGAATAAGCTCCCGATCAATGTTTTTTTTTTTTTTTTTTTTACAGTATCATGATTTTTTTTCCTTTTTAACAAGCCAATAATCCAAACAATCCATGCAGATTGGATTCACATTTTCTTGTTATGTCAATTTCAATATGAGGATATTTTCTCCCGGAAAGATGAGAGCTCCCTGGACAGTATCTCTTATTTTTGTAGTTCTAGCCCTACTTTTCTTTTCTTATTTCCTAACAATTTACACATTTATCACGTTTCTATCTGAGTTTGCAAGCAGTTGCGGCTCTAGGATATAACTTATGGTGGGAACTAAGATGTCCGACTGGGGGGGGGGGGGCTAACTATTTAATCGTGATGATCAAATACACATTTGCAATTTTAATTCTGTCGCTGTACATTTCTATTTTTGTTGAGTGATAGTCAATTTATTGTCACATAGGAATTTCAGATAGTGATTTCAAACAGCTGTTGTTGGATTTTTCAAGATGGTATGATGGACTTGGATACATCAATAGGCTGAAAGTTCTCTACACAGATCATGTGCCAAATTATATTGAGTTAAGTGAGGCTACTGAAGTGACATCCTTGCTGCAAAATTTAACTGGTTCAGGGAATTTGAGTCGAACAAACCTCACAATCCTGTACGACACAATAAAAGTAACTGAACAATTTGGCTTCAAATCCAAAATTGCACTTCCACTTTTACAAAGGCTCGAGGAACATGAAGTGTCTAGATTCACACGATTCAGACAATTCCTGTTTAAGCTAGGGATGAAACTGACTAGAGACGATATACGCATGCTTGACGTACGACATAATGAGATGCCTCTGTTGAAGAATTATAAAGACAGCTGGCATATGATACTGGATCTAGAGCATAGGAAGAAGCTTTGTGAAGAAAAGATTTACAGTTTCATTGAAGGATTACCAAGTTACTTGGCTGTGAAAGCTTTATGGGAAGGTAAACTGCTATAGTTTATTAAAGAAGAAGTTTACCTATTTTAAATAATTTTAGAACTTATTTTAGCACTCAGTTACATAATATCCCATTTCAGAACAAGAGAATGGCCGTATTTGATTGGTCCTTCTTTGTTAAACCATGCCCACCTGCGCAGTGGTAAAATCCTACTTAACGTAGATGACCAGTCAATTAGAAACAAAATGGCTGCATAGTTACCGCGATACAAGCTGCGTAATCAAGATTACTTTGGCTTATGGCAGTATTTTTCATAAAAGAAATGTTTTTATCCAATTTTTGAATTCTGTTAGGCTACAATTATTTTTTGACTTCAATGTGAGTAAATATTATAATTTTTATTTTCTGAAATTTAATCTAAATTATATTAATGCAAATGTTGTTTCTAAACTCACCAATTGGCCACGTTTGTTTTGGTCACATGGATAACTTAACACAGATTAACACACTCTGGTTACGTTAATTTTCGTTGTCAACGAAGTCTGCTTAACGAAACAGTCGAATGAAAATAATACTTAACGAAAATTTGTAGTCAATGAAGTGAACCAGTCAGATACGTCCAATGATCATGAGAAACATACATTTATTCATCCTTTTAGACAGATTCAATAACTTATTGAGACCTGTCTCCTTGAAGGTGGAATGAATAGTGGAAGCTCCTTCTGATTGAAATTGCTCCATTTGTGACATCATAATGAAAAGTAGCCACACCAACGTAACAAATGTACACAAGCAAGTTATTGCTCTTCAAATGGGCTTTGCTTGGTACTGGTTGAAATCCACTGCTAGATCTTATCAAAATACAAATCATATGAAAAAGTTTTCATATTCTTTGTATTTTGCATTTCACTGTTCCCTGGTATTTTGGTAAGTGAAGATGGCCTTGTGAAAACTAATATGGTGATGCAAGCTTTTTTGCTTTAAAATAAAGCTGTAATTATTTATAATAATATTTGATTACAGTAATGATATTAACAGTATTCTCTACACCCTTCAATTTTTAGTCCTGAAATTACTTAACATGTATCTACTATTTAAACTATTGATTTTATGTACTCAATAAACTTGACATTACTATATTTCATACTATTGTTTTGCTCATAATACCCAATGGTTTCTTTGCAGACAAGGCAGGAAAATCAGAACAACCAAGAACATCAAGGTCAGATGAAGGTGTGTAATATATTCAATATAGCCTACCATTTAATAGCATTACAGTGACATTTACTGTATAGTACAAATACATCATAACAAAACTAAAATATAGACAAGTTAAAGACTAGAGTAGTTACATATTGCATAATATTAAAAGAGTGGTTAAATTATGCAGTTTGCAATACAGTATCAAATTCCAAATAAAACTTAAATTATTAGAGTTTATTACCCCTTCTGGTCCCAACTCTGTCCCTGTCAGGATTGGTTTTTTGTTCCTTGACCGTGTTGAAGGAATTGGTCATATATCCTGTCTAAAAAGAGCTGGCAGCAGTGGGCATTGTTCACACAATGCCCAAAACAACGAATGCTACAGTAGCTCACATCATGTAGCTTCATCAAGCTATTCATACCGTACTCGCGCAAATAAGCGCCCCACTTGAATAAGCGCCCCACTTGAATAAATGCCCCTCTTAACAGAAAAATTGTCTTAAGCGCCCATCTATGTTTTTTTTTTTTTTAACAGTATCATGTGATTTTTTTTTTCTTTTTAACAAGCCAATAAATCCAAACAATCCATGCAGAGTGGATTCACATTTTCTTGTTATGTCAATTTCAATATGAGGATATTTTCTCCCGGAAAGATGAGAGCTCCCTGGACAGTATCTCTTATTTTTCTAGTTCTAGCCCTACTTATCTTTTCTTATTTCCCAACAATTTGCTCATTTATCACGTTTCCATCTGAGTTTGCAAGCAGTGGCGGCTCTAGGATATAATTTATGGGGGGGCTAAGATGTCCAACTGGGTAGACTAAGTATTTATGGGTGTAACTTAATGCAGATTAACGCACTCTGGTTACGTTAATTTTCGAAAATTAACGAAAATAATACTCAACGAAAATTCGTAGTCAACGAAATTAACCAGTCGAATATGCCCAATGATCATGAGAAACATACATTTATTCATCCTTTTAGACAGATTCCATGACTTATTGAGACCTGTCTCCTTGAAGGTGGAATGAATAGTGAAAGTTTCTCCTGACTGAAATTGGTCTATTTGTGACATCATAATGAAAAATAGCCACACCAATGTAACAAATGTACACAAGCACGTCATTGCTTTGAGGACAAGGATATTCATTTTATATTCCAAAATACAATGCATATAAAAACATTTCTTATTCTTTGTATTTTGGTAAGTGAAGATGAATGTCCTTGTGAAAACTAATATTGTGATGAAAGCTTTTTTTATTTTAAAATACAAATACAAATACATCATAACAAAACTAAAATATACAGACAAGTTAAAGACTACAGTAGTTACATATTGCATTATAGAGAGTAGTTAAATTATGCAGTTTGCAATACAGTATCAAATTCCAAGTAAAACTTGTAAATTATTAGAGTTTATTACCTCTTCTGGTGCCAACTCTGTCCTTGTTAGGATTGGTTCTTTGTCCCTTGACCGTGTTAAAGGGATTGCAGCTACAATAACAACTAAATTTCAACAAGGCATATCTGTCATAGTTAATAATGAAGTATATGCCCTGCACATACCACAGTTACTACTAATATTTTCTCTTATTGAACAATAGCACTGTATTATATATGTATATATATATATTCATTCATTCATTCATTTGGTCAATATCAACATATACAAGGAAAAAACAAATAAAACCAATTATAAAACCATTTAAAACAGTAATTCAATTTTTTTTTTAATTATGTAAAATTTCTTTAAGAAATATTTTAAAAATCAAAAAAAGGGGTGAACATTCAAAGATAAAAGGATTGAAAATTTTAAAATACACAGAAACGAGGTAATGATTTAAGAACGGTAAAAAATATGTTAACAGTTTAATAAAAACATCAGTATTGAGATGTATCGGAACAAATAAAAAATGTTAAAAAGCGGTTTAAAAAGTAGTACAGAGTACTGTGGTACCATTAATGAAATTGTACGAAAAACACAGTGCATAAATTAAAGAGCTAAGCCACTCTTCAGAGTAGGAAAATTACACTGTTGTCTATTGTAGATGCTGCTAATGTGCTAATTGTCAATTTCTATTTACTCAGTAGGTAACGGAGAACCATCAACATTAAAAAGGTCAAGACAAAAGTTAGACAAAGGTATGTACTGAGTGCTGAATGATTGCGTTTTTATTTTCCGTCACATACCACAGTTACTACTAATATTTTCTCTTATTGAACAATAGCACTGTATTATATATGTATATATATATATTCATTCATTCATTCATTCATTTGGTCAATATCAACATACAAGGAAAAACAAATAAAACCAATTATAAAACCATTTAAAACAGTAATTCAATTTTTTTTTTAATTATGTAAAATTTCTTTAAGAAATATTTTAAAAATCAAAAAAAGGGGTGAACATTCAAAGATAAAAGGGTTGAAAATTTTAAAATACACAGAAACGAGGTAATGATTTAAGAACAGTAAAAAATATGTTAACAGTTTAATAAAAACATCAGTATTGAGATGTATCGGAACAAATAAAAAATGTTAAAAAGCGGTTTAAAAAGTTGTACAGAGTACTGTGGTACCATTAATGAAATTGTACGAAAAACACAGTGCCATAATTAAAGTTAAATTTTGAAAAAAAAAAATTAAAAAGCAGCAGATGAAAAAACAAGAAGTTGATATATGATGTAGAGAATGGTCAGTATAATTCATCTGATAATTTTTGTCTGTGATTTATTCAATTAATTTTTGGTCGCTCTAAATAATTGTTAAAATAATTAAAAGTAGGTAAAAACAAGAAAGGTATGGATATAAAAACAGATTTATTCATTCTTCGTTATTCAATAGCAGAAAATATTAGTAGTAACTGTGGTATGTGCAGGGCATCTGCTTCATTAACTATGACAAATATGCCTTGTTGAAATTTAGTTATTGTTACTGTAGCTGCTATGATCAGAAAAAATAACAGGAGTGGTAGTAAAATTCCAGTCAGTTTACACACAAGCAATAAATACCAGTACACTACCCAAAAACTGATCATTTATGCTGAAAATGGGGATGAGGATATTAATGATAATCATTATAATGGAGATGATTATGGTGATGGATGATGATAATTCTACAGGGAGAAATTGCTAATTTTGTGGATGTGGATTTAGCTCTATTTGTGTGTAAATCCAAAAATGGAAATGAAATGATGAGTACTGTATAATGAACTGAAAATGGATTAGTCAATAAAATAATTTTTTAAATATACAATACATGTAAATGAAATATAATACTACTCTACTAATAGTGAGATAAATCTATGTTGATGATTATGTAGAGTATAGTGTCAAATAGCTAAATGACTATACAATTAATGCTAATGTGAGCATAAATGTATAATATGAAAATACTTTTTAAATTCAAAAATATCTCTATATTAGTAGCAGAATTATATTATTGTTGTTTAATTTTCTGTTCCAGACATAATTATCAAAGATTCCCTGATAAAAATGCAACAACAACTATATAGGGATTTAAAAACAATGACACCATCAATCTGGCATAAAAATCATGCTGTAGATATTGCAGAAACATTTACTGAACTCATCTTACATCAGTCAACAAGAAAAGGCAATAGAGAACCAAAAGACAAAGAAGAAAAAGATGAAAAAGAGTATACAGATGAAGAGTATACAGATGATGAGGAACAACAAATAGAACAAGAACAAGTCAAGTCCACATGTATAATGAAGGCAGGTAAACCTGCATCATTAACAGAGGTATTAGATCTTATTAAATCAACAGATGCATGTAAGGTAATAATAAGAGGGAAGGGAGGAATGGGCAAGACTACTCTCCTTAAATATATTGCTTATCAGTGGGCTACTGATGAGGAGCATGTCTTTGCTGATAAATTACTGTTTATGATGAATATCAGGGAAATTAAAGCATGTGTAAAGTTCTTGGACATGATTGTGAAAAATATGGATTCAAATGGAATAATTATAAAGAATGATTTGAATGATAATTCTGTTGAAGATTTCCTGGTCAAACATGATGATGAAATAGTAATTTTGTTAGATGGATATGATGAGTTAGAAAGGGATGCTAAAGACCCATTAGATCTATTTAAAGGAACTGAATTGCAAAAAAGCACAGTGGTGATAACATCTCGACCTGACAACACAGCTGATTTAGTTAAATCCTGTGATGTACACATTGAAGTAAAGGGATTCAGTCCAGGAAACATAAAGAAATATATTCATAAGCATTTTAAATCAATTGGTGCAACCAAAGTTGGTGAATTGCTAATAAAAGAGCTCAGACTTGATTCAGAGTATACAATGCATTGGGGTGGTGATCACAAAGAAGCATTTGAAATGTGTTCATCTCCACTGTTATTGCTTCATATTTGTACCACATGGAAACAAATACGTCGTCTTCCTACCTACTTGCCAGATCTCTTCAAGGAAATCATTTGTTGTAATTTAACTCAATACCTAAACAGGACTGGCAATGGAACTGCAATTGCTAATTTTGACAGAATTCCAGATAAATATATGTCTGCACTTTTAACTTTAGGAGAATGTATGTATGAAGGACTAAAGAAAAATGCACTAGCTATTGACAAATATGTTTTGTCAGAGATGGCAAATAATAAAAATCTAGTAGATTTAGCACTGGATTTTGGATTTGTTTATGAAGATAGCCCTGTTGATCCAGGTGATAGGAGACAGATGTACACTCCACCACACAAGTTAATTTCAGAGGCACTAGCCGGGCTGTACCTGTCTGCGCGAATTCAGAAAGAGAGTGCAGCGTTTTACCCTGCTAATAAAATTGAGGAAGATCATTCGAAAGCAGAGGAGTATGAGGTGATAAGATCTAATAAATATCTACATATGACAAGAGTGTTCACAGTAGGATTTCTTGGTGCTAAAGCTGGTAAATTGCTAAAACATTGGTTGATAAGGAGGGCCTCAAATTTTTACTCAATAGCACAATATTTCAGACATGTGAAAGATGAACATGAACACCTTGTACTACAGGAATTGGATAACAACAGTGAAATGAAAGCATGCTGTGAGCAAATATGTCAGTCATTCAGAAGAATTCCTAATAACAAAGACATAAAAAATATGCATCTATTCAAACTTATGTGTTACATTGAATGTAAGAATAGGAATTATGGAAAAAATGAAGAGCTTGAAAAGGCAGCAATCTCTATGATAGACATATCTAGTGAAGAGTCTCTAAGAATTTCGTGCAGAGATTTTGTACACAGCGCAGTTGTAGCACAAGGAGTTTGGCTAACAAATCATTTTTTTGAATGTATTTCTAATTGGGGAGACAAAAGTATCAATATTCTTTCCACTGCGATGAAAGATATAGATATGACATATAATCAAAGGGTAATCAACTTCAGGTTTGAATTTCAAGTTAGTTCTTTATTTTTAATTCATTTCTTAAAACATGCAAGAAACCTATCTACCATAACATGCTGTATAACTTCTGTACTCAGTGAAGTTATAAATGAGTTACATAAAACTCACACTAAGTTGAAATTAACCAAACTTACTATTAACGATCTACGCGATACTGATGGAGGTTTACTAGAAAAATTGTTTGAAGTCGCTCCTGAACTAAAATATTTAAAAGTAGGCAGTTGTACACTATCAGGCAGTATTATTAAAATGATGAAATATTGTTGTAGGATGAATGTAGTATTGATATTCAACATACTTCAACGGAGGCAAAATTTAAACCTTTCAGATATTGATGGTGAATCACTTGCAGCATTAATATATGTAGTTAGTCAGAGCATGAAGAAAATAAGTCATTATTATAAAACTTCTGATTCTTCGTGTATTGAACATACTTTCAGTTGGAGTAAATATTCTCTTACAGCTGATAACCTAAAAAGGCTGGTTGAATCATGTGTAAATATGAGACTGAACTGGAAAAGGATAGATTTGAGTAAGGTTAACCTATCTTCAGTCAGTGGTAGAACATTAGCTTGCCTTTTTAAGATCTCCCCAGACCTGATCCATATTGACATGAGTCATTGCAGTTTATCAGGCATTATTGTTAATGAAATGATGGAGGAATGTGGTAGGATGAATGTGAAAGACAACATGCTTAGACTAAAGGGCAATGACCTTTCAGATATTGATGGTAAATCACTTGCAGAGTTATTCAGAATAGTCAATGATTTTTTTATTTGGAGTGATTATTCTCTTTCAGGTAATAACATACAAAGGCTGGTTGAATCAGGTGTAAATATGAGACTGAATTGGGAATTGATAGATTTGAGTGGGATTGACCTATCTTCAGTCAGTGGTAGAACATTAGCTTGCCTTTTTAAGATTTCCCCAGACCTGAGCCGCATTGACATGAGTCATTGCAGTTTATCAGTCAGTATTATTATTGAAATGATGGAGGAATGTGGTAGGTTGAATGTAGCATTGAAAGACAACATGCTTGTTCTGGTGGACAATGACCTTTCAGATATTGATGGTAAATCACTTGCAGCGTTACTCAGGGTAGTCTTTAAACAGCACGGTGTTTTCAGATGGAGTGATTATTCTCTTTCAGCTGATAACCTACAAAGGCTGGTTGAATCAGGTGTAAATATGAAACCAAATTGGAAAGTGATAGATTTGAGTAAGATTAACCTATCTGCAGTCAGTGGTAGAACACTAGCTTGCCTTGTTAAGATCTCCCCAGACCTGAGCCATATTGACATGAGTTATTGCAGTTTATTAGTCAGTATTGTTAATGAAATGATGAAGGAATGTGGTAGGATGAATGTGAAAGACCACATGCTTAGACTAAAGGGCAATGACCTTTCAAACATTGATGGTAAATCACTTGCAAAGTTAGTCATGGTACTATTCGATGGACAGTATGAAACTTTTAGATGGAGTGATTATTCTCTTTCAGCTGATAACCTAAAAAGACTGGTTGTGTCAGGTGTATATAGGAAACTGAATTGGAAATGGATAGATTTTAGTAAGATTAACTTATCTTCAGTCAGTGGTAGAACATTAGCTTGCCTTTTTGAAATCTCCCCATACCTGATCCATATTGACCTGAATCATTGCAGTTTATCAGGCAATATTGTTAATGAAATGATGAAGGAATGTGGTAGGAAGAAAGTAGTATTGAAAGACAACATGCTTGTTCTAAAGGGCAATAACCTTTCAGGTATTAATGGTAAATCACTTGCAGAGTTAGTCAGAGTAATTCATCTTCCTTATGATATTTACTCTTATACTAATGGCTATTTCATATGGAGAGATTATTTTCTTTCAGCTTATAACCTAGAAAGGCTGGTTGAATCGGGTGTAAATATGAGACTGAATTGGAAATTGATAGAATTGAGTGGGATTAACCTATCTCCACTCTGTGGTAGAACATTAGCTCTCCTTTTTAAAATCTCCCCATACCTGAGCCATATTAAGATGAGGTATTGCTGGTTATCAGTCAGTATTGTTGATGAAATGATAGAGGAATGTGGTAGGATGAATATAGTATTGGAAGAGAACATGCTTGATTTGGAGGGTAATCACTTCTCAGTATTGGAGCATTTCAAAACAAAACAACGCGAAATCGCGAAGACAACGCAAAATTGAGGAGGTATACGGTAAGAATGGCCCCAGAAAGAATGGCCCCGGGAAAAAATGGCCCCGGAAAAAATGGCCCCAGAAAAAATGGCCCCAGAAAAAATGGCCCCAATAATCAAATTCTGAATTAAAACTGATTTTCTTGAGTCATTATATTCATTTTTTTTATCTTAACTAATTTAGTTTTTAAAAGAAATCTCCCCAATAATCAAATTCTGTATTAAAACTGATTTTCTTGAGTCAATATATGCATTTTTTTATCTTAAATAATTTAGTTTTTAAAAGGAATCTAACATCACACAAATTGCCATTTACATTTTACTTTTTGCAAGAATTAATATTCAATGATAAAATATTCAAAGCCATGAATTACACTTTTTATTTATTTTTTTAATTTAAATGTTAAAAAATAACAAAACATAATCAATAAATCAACATAAATCATGCATTTATTAATACTAATTGTGGCCGATTTCACGGAAGCGGAATCACAATTTTCCAGAAATTCAATCTGTGTATTGGTAAACCCCACAAACAGTGGGTTAGTATGAACATCAAATTATTATTTTTACAATCATAATTATATGGTTTAGATGGGGTTTACAGTGTGTTTAGAGGTTTGTGGTGTATTTGCAAGTATTTTTTTATAAAAAATCTAAATTTTAACCAAAAAATAGTTATGAATATTTAATTTTCTTATTGATATACCAAGTTAGTCAATCACAATTGAATTGTTTAATTTTCTACAGTGTGTTTTGGGAGGTTTGTGGGATTTAGCAATACCACATAATCCTACCATAATCACCCTACCCTCACAATCACACGCCATTTTAATTTTTAGCATAATTGCCATACGTAACTATACATAATTCTAAGTTAGTAGTAGGCACTTGGATTTAGTTAGTGATAGTAAAAGCTAAGTATGCAACTAAATTAGTTGCTTAAATAAATGTATTCCTAATTATTCGGTTTACTAAAAGCAATACTTCTTTGAATAAACTCTAAGCAGACAATTTATTGCTAAGTTTGCGAGAAAGTAAGCCTCTCCTTTTTCCCTTTTCACATGAACTTGTGATTCAAACACATAATTGATCCACATCCTTTAACTACTGTTTATTTGCATTGTTTATAACATGTAAAGTTAATTCATTTGATATTTAACAAAAGTGAAGTTTGTGGTTATCTATGAGTTGCATATTTTGGTAGTTGAAATACTGTATACTGTATGTCATTCCTCTACTTTGTTAGTGAAATAACGTTTTTAAAACTTTTATTTCTACTATCAAAAAATGTTATTCAATGGCCATTGTTTTTCGATTATCATTAACATTATTTGCATTTGCTGTAATTGTTAAAAAACAAATGCTTTTAAAGACATAAAAAAAGTCACAAATTGATCTCAGTTCAAAGGAAAAATTTTCACCTATAAACCCCTTAATTTCACAAAAGAGTGGGTTCTTTTCCAAACAAATACATCCTGCCTAATATTGTGTGTTTAGATTAGATCTTTTGCTTTAACTTTGGAAACTGAGATCATTTTAGATACTATTTCTGTATAAACTAAATTTTTTTTTCATATTACTGTAAACTTAATGGGTTTTGATAAATTTACTCTGCACTACGGAATTTCCAATAAAAAAAAAGAAAATTAATTAACCCTTCTTAGCAGATTAACTAGATAAACAGTTTGGCTTTGACTGAATCAGTTTAAGTGTAGGTTTTTATGTTGATTTATTAATTAAATTTTTGCTACAGGGTATTTTACAGCATTTATTTATTTATTTATTATTAATTTTTTTTTTCTTGAATTTTATAATTGAGGGCCATTTTTTATTTCTTGATTCAATTCTTGCTTATACAGTATTTAAATATTTGAAGATTAAAAAAAAATATATCATTTCTATTACCAAATTTTTCATTGGGGCAATTTTTACCTACCTGTCATATGGGGCCATTTTTACCAGGGCCATTTTTTCCAGGGCCATTTTTTCCGGGGCCATTCTTACCTACATTCAGCTGAGGATTACACCTAAAATTAATCGCATCGCGTTGCCCACCCGATGTTTAGATTGCATCTCGATTTGTGGGATATTCCATTTCAATGAATAGGGTGCGATCGACAACAAGCGTGTTTTAATCACTGAGAGCATGCAGCCAAGCATTTGTTATCAACGACGCTTCACATGCAGCCAGTGTTCACTGTCAGTACAAATTAACGATTGTTAATAGATGGATTATTCCCTCATTTTGCATTTAGAGGATTCGGGATGAATTTCCGTCTCCAACAGGTACATATTAAGGATTTGATCTTAATGTACAATAGAGCTATACAGTTGTGCGCGTTTGCAATTGCTATAGCTAATTTAAAGTGAGGCGCTTATTATATAATATTGTTAGTAACCAATAGTAATAGTTTTACAGTGATTATGTCTTGACTGTTTTTACAACAGTTTTATAACAGTTTAGTTCAAGTTTTGTTTAGAGCTGGACACGATTGCCAGTTTGTCTGTTGCTACAGAATAAATCATCAACCAATTAGTAATATTTTGTTTACATTACTTTGTTGATGTCCTTTTGTATTATATTGTACATTCTTTGTTGACGGAGGTGCTGTAGTGTGTGTTGTATAGACCTAGCCTACTTTACTCATATTGATATTTCATCCTTGAACATTCCACTTCTGAATCTGGAGCAGCATTATCTACCCTACTTCTGATATCTGGACGAATCTGATGTTACACTATGCAAATCAAGGCTGATGTAGCAGTTGGAAGCTGATTACATACATTATTCAGCCTTGTTGTTTAATTTAACCAGTCATAACCATTTTTACATTCATCATTATAATCCACTGTTACAAGAGTACCTTTTTGTTTAGCAAATTATTTACCTCTTCTTTAGACAAGCAAAACTCAGGGACTGATATTCGAACACTATTTTTCAAAATCGGAATTTATTTCCCCATAAACATATGCAGCACATGCCGACTATACAGTATACAAACAAAAACAAGTCATTTTAGGCCTTATTAACAGTTGTTCTGAAAATCTGGACTCAAAATTTACCAAATTCTCCATAGGTGGTGGGTGTACCTTTGCAGTGGTTTGTTGAATTAATTGGAGATCATTTGCTTTCATTTCATTTTTCCTGTAGATGATATCGCTATTAATAATAATCATAACATGTATCTCTCTAATCAACATTTGGCTACTAACACCTTCTCTGCAGACCAGTTATCTGAGTTTTTGTTGAAGGGCTTGTGTACCTGATGAAGAAAAACAATTCATATTCATGACTTATTGCATGTACAGTAATACAGAAATTTGGTAAACTAATACAGGGTAGTAGTACTTACCCATAAATTAGTGATGCTTACATTGGGTTGTCCACTGCATTACTTCGCTGGCTCTTCATCTGCAAGTCAAAGGCTGCAGGACAATTTCGTGCTTGAAAAGGTGTAGCTAATAAAAACAAATGATCAATCCAATTTATTCTAAATATGGTTTGTAAATGAATGAAAAGAATGCATTATATCAGGAACAGTGAAATTTCACTGTTCCCTGATTATCTGATCTATGTACTGTAGATCAATAGTTATACTGTATTTCATAAAATTTTCATACAATTTTTTGTTTTACCACAGATTGTTGTGGAACATAACATGGAATAATTCTGATATAGTATTACACTCGCTGAAAACTTTGTCATTTACATGTATAAACATTATCACATTATGGTAGCACACAAAAATACCAGTATGTCTGAAAAAGTTGTATGCATACAGTTGAATAGGTGTTACTAGATACAGCATCAATATTTTTCCTCTAAGCTTACACTAAACTTTTAATTTTTTGTATACATACAGAACAAGTCATCTATGAATTATGTTTAAATTTCTTTACCTGAAATGTTCTTGAAGAAATTAGAACTGAGTATCCGGTAACATGCTTTTGCTGCTCGTAAACCGCTGGTAAAATAAAGGCCTGTCTGGATTTGCATTTTTATTGTCTATGATTGATCTTGCTTTCATTAGAGCCATGCTGTCTCCCAATAAAATACATATTAAAAGGCAAAACATTGAAAAACAATAATGCTGTAGGAAGCAATGGCTGAATCTTGGTAGGGATAGATGTTTGATAAGCAACAGCTAAACATGCAATTGCAACTAAACACCAGAAATAAAAATGTACAAACAGTTTTACTTGACGGTCACATTTTATATTATGACAGCAATTCTAATAAGCAAAACATATGTAATTACGTTAAAATGAGGCCTGCCTTGGAATTATGAAATTATGCTATTAAAAACTACTCCGTAAAAAATAATGTACTATAATACAATGGTCTAAACGGTA